AGCATGCTGATCAACAGCTATTTCTGCATCGATGACGTTCTGTTGAAAGCCTCTGCATATCAATCTACTGCCATTACATAATCCATTCGAGGGATCGATATTTCGTAACAGTATTATTGGGCATCCGATCTTGAGACGAAGGTAATGAGGAGGCAAACCACTAACAGTTAAAGAATTTAAGAACTCCTTCGGATAGATGTTGTTATTATCGTCTTCTGCTTCGTCGAAGCTGTAGTATATTTTTTCATCTCCAGAAAACTTGTCGATCAACTGATCATTAATCTCGTCGACATTCTCGTTTTTAGTTGACAATATCGCCCTTGAAATGATATAATCTGAATTAGCCCCGTTGATTTGCATAGATGGAAAGATCGCGTCAATCAGCGCATCTTTTGACTTACCTTTATTAGCATAGGGAATGGTCATGTCATCCGGTATGTGAATAAAGCTTTCGTCCACCGCTTCTTCATCTCCATCACCGACTCTTAGTAAAAATTCTGAAAACCATGGATCAGTGCGTGCTCTCATATTGAGCGTTAGCCGTATCTTTTTAATCGTTGCCCAAAGAGGTGACATCCGCAAGCTAGAATCTACAATCTGTGCTCGGGTTCCACGCCTCACGACCGGTAATACTTGTCTAAAATCACCCCCCGAAACCATTATCTTTCCACCGAATGGGAGTGCCACCCCTATGATGTCTCGCATTGTTCGATCGAGAGCCTCCACCGCCTGCCTCTTTGCCATCGACGCTTCGTCCCAGATGAATATTTATGCATCTCGAATCAATTTAGCAGCCCCACTCTGTTTTCTTATGTTGCACATCGAGTTATTATCAAGGTTTAGAGGAATTTTGAATCTAGAGTGAGCTGTTCTCCCTCCAGGCATATTATTGGTAGCAACACCCAAAGAAGTGGTTGCGAGAGCAATAAGACCACGTGAACGGATGTTGGCAAGCAAAGCTTTGTACAAAAAATTCTTCTCGGTTCCACCCGGACCATCTATAAAGAACACTCCTGGACAATCCTCGTCTACGTGCCTCATGATCTCATCATATGCATATTTCTGGTCGAAATTCAGAGAGTCTCGGGGACGCAAGTGTTCATCTTCCACAACTATAGAGCATTCCTCTTCTACCTCACGAAATTCTCCAGATTGAAAATTTGAATTTGCATCAACCATTGGAAGATCGAAATCATCAAGACTCTTACCCATAGACTGTAGAAAAACGAGGATATCAGTTAGAACCAGATTACGGACTCGATTAACACTTTCACATTGTCGCGTATAATCTTCAGAGAGCGAATCATAGTGGTCATCCCATAATTTGCGAACATCTTCTTGCTCACAATAAATCAACATCGTGGCAAATAACCTCCTAAGAGCAGCCGGAAATTGAAATAAGGAGGCCTCTCCAAGACATTGGGATAAGTTGTCATTGTTCTCTATTAACCCTCTCTCAAGAGATGCTTTGCGAAATGTAGGGTGCGGTAAGCCGTTAAAACTGTATAGATCTTCAAAGCAAGTAGGCCCAGTAATATGAGACGAAAGTAGGCGTAGGTAGAACCGCTCTCCTTCAGCTGGATTTGCAGACACAAGTCGGCCTTTCATTGATCCTCTTTG